CCCCAACACCTCTTTACAAATTTTTTTTATATTTTATTATTTTTATTTTATGTGTATGAGTGTATTGCCTGCATGAGTGTAAATACACCCATGTCATACAGTGCCCGTGGAGGACAGAAGGCATCAGATCTCCTGGAACTGGATTTATGGATGGTTGTCAGCCACCATGTGGGTGCTGGGAATTGAACCCGGGTCCTCTGCAAGAGCAGTCAGTGTTCTTAACTACTGAGCCATCTCTCTAGCCTCTTTATAAGATTTTTTAAGGAAAAATATATCATGAAACCAAAGTAGAAGTTAATTTAAAGTCAAGAAAATTCAATATAAAAATATATTTTTAATTTGTTGTAAAATTTTTAACTGTAGTTAACTTCAAAGCCACAAGCACCAGAATTTAGCCCCAGACCCTGAACATGCCCTCAGTACCCAAGAACAACCACACGTTGCTTCAGTTCCCCATACAGGTGCTCCAGACACCAGGGGAAAGAAACTAGAACATGGAGAGAAAAACTGACAAGACCTGGAAGCCCCCTAATGCCTAGTGGTCTACAGTCCACCACAGCTAAGTGCCAGGCAAAGGCCTGACCATGAACAGAGAAAGGGAAGGTTATCCTTTCTAGAAGCCGAGGGCACCCCCACCACACAGTGCTAAGAGAGGCTCAGCAAGCTTCCTCTCCAATCCACTCCTAACACAATTAATATCCAGTAGAGGAGGGCTGGGGACACGACTCGGTGTGGCTGATGCCTACCTTATTTGCCCAGCACAAGAGGCCCTGCTTGATCCCTATAGTTATAGGATCATAGTTATAACTAAGACAAAATAAACCTCAGGAAAGGAAACTATAATTAAATATACAGGCTGTATATCCACAACTTGATCCAGACAAATGAAAATATTTAATATGCTCGTGACTGTGGCGCCTTTTTGTGGCTCACGGAAACAGGTGCTTGGAGTTCCAGGCCACAAACCAGCCTCATGCAGAGAAATGTGTATTTTCACAATCAAAGAAACTCTAGAACTGTGTAACAACCGTTCTCAATTAAAATCCAAAAGAACTTTGAGAAAGGTGATGTCTTTGGGGGCGAGGGGAAGAGCACCATGCAGACTTAGAAGTCTACAAAGTTAAAAAGCCGGTCCAACCCAGCATTGGAATGTTTTGCAGTCAAGGGGCCTCATCCTGTGACTACAATCAAATAAATGCCCTGTAAGATGCCAGGGTGCAGAGCCCAGGTTCCAGAGCAATGTCTCTCTGTTCAGGACTCTAAATCTAAAGTCGGAACTGCAGTGTTTTACACTCGATTTCAGGAGTCTTCTGGACCATGAGCTGAGGCTGCCTGGTGTCGGTGAACAGATGACTGAAACTGAACTTTCTCCACCTTTTAATGCCAAGCTAGGTATTGAGAGCATTACTCTGAGCCAGGCATGGTGGCTCACCTCTGTAATCCCAGCAGAGGCAGAGGATCAAGAGTTGAAGGTTATCCTCAACTACTTAATGCGTTTGAGACCAGCTGGGCTACTTGAGACCCTGTCACTCCATAAGGCTGGGGGTATAGCTCAGCGGTAGAACACACCTTTAACACTGAGCATGAGAGAAGCCCTGGATTCCAGCCCTGGCGGCACAAAGAAAGCAAAGAGCATCTATCTTTGTCTGACCTGCATTATCTGCAGCACCTCGTGGAGGAAGTAAAGCCAACCGCCTGTCTCTCTAGGGGGTGGAATTCTCTGGTGCCTCACCTGTCTCCTGCCCCACTGCCACCAAGTTGTGCCCACACAAGCTCCCTCTTCGAACCTGCTGTCCATGCTCTGGCCACCTCACACCCGGCCACAATGGGCTCTTTACAGTCTATGTCAACAGCCTTCCTTCCACAGGTGCAGTGCCTTGAACGCCGCCCTAACAGTCTGCACTCCTCTAGTTCCACTATCAGGGCTCTCTTCCTCTCCTGGCTTCCAGCGGGCTCCCTAGATCAGCTCATCTGTGTGAATGGTTCTAGACACAGGCTCAATGCTGACACCTCTTGAATTGCAAACTCAAATCCAGACACTTAGGATGTCTCCTCTTGGCCACCCGTGTACACCTGCTACGCCTCCCCACTGTAGCCAAACTCTCACAGTACACCTGGATGTTTCCTGCATCATATTTGACCCCACCTTGGTTGTTGAAGCATGCCTCAGTGGACCCAGCCTGGCACACAGCAAGTGCCCAGAGCTGTGTATCAAGCTAGCTCGAGGGGGTGGTCTTCCCCAGCAAAGACAGTCTCCTGCATAGAGCACTTAGGAGAGTCCTTGTCCATAACATAGGAGGCCCAAAAGACAGCTCAGGACATGGACTCATGGTTCCCCATGGTCTGATGGCCTCAGTGACAAGCCTGTCAGAAGAAAGAGGATGAAGAGAGCCCAGGCCAGGCTATTGTCAAGTGGATCTAGGACCTTGTGGGGGACAGAAGGGCCCAGCAGTCATGGCAGGAACCCACCACCCCCCCATGTTTCCCTGGGGCACAGCCCCAACTCCCTATACTTAAATGAGAAGAAATCTCTCAGCAAGTCTAGTGTATCTCTACAGAGACAAAGTAAATGAAAAATGCAAGTGTTTGCATCTGGGCCAGAGCAGAAAAGAATGTGGAGACTCGGGGACCATGTGGGGGCAGCAGGACGCAGAACAGGACCACTGCCAGACAGTAAGGTGAACCAGGGAGGGGACACTGGGGACTGGGTCAGCCAGTAATCACCCTGCAAGGCCAACCTCAGACAATGGAAGGGCTAGATCAGTGACACAGATGAGTGGCATGCCATCGGCCTTGCCCAGTGCAGGGTGGACTTTCCTGCCTACACCTGGGCCTGAGGCAGGAGGGCCTGGCAGGGTTCTGAAGGCAGAGAGGGAATGGTGGTCAGCCACTCGGCTCCTCCTCGAGTGCTCCAGATCTGAGTGAAGCAGATGTTTGGGAGAAGGTCAACTTTTCTTGATCTTAAAAAAGTCACCCTGAGCATCTTAAAGAGAGAGACAGACGGCTGTCCACTTAGAATGGCCTCTGCCCCTTCTGGGGAAGCTGCTGAGACCAAGGAGAGGAACTAATGGCAGGCTCAATGTGAAAGGAAACGGAAAGGCGGGCAGCAACCCTGCAGCAGCTCTGCTCCCAGCACGCCTGCGCTGCCTGCCAGCCGCAGTCACCATGCACGCCCGCAGCCGCCACCACCCACCGCATGCCTCACTCGCTTCCAAGCCTGGGATGAAGCAGGCATCACACTCTCAGGGGTCTGCAGCTAAAATGCCCCACGAAGAATGCCTCTGCAGCCACCCAGACGAACTGGCAGCTCACATCCTCCAAACAAAAAGGAGTTAGTAAAGGCCCATTTGTCACCAAATACCGAAGACCCAAAAAGGTCCCTGAAGCAAGTATTTTGACAAATATCAAACACCAATGGGTTACGTGCTAATAAAGCTAAAATTAAAGAGCGTTTACAAATTAAAGGGTTGCTCAGAACACACAGGGAACTAGGCAGCAGTGATTGTTTTCTGAGCCATGAGAACAGCACACGGGGCAGACCAGCTACTTTCAAAGCGGTGTGTCCACAGCACACGGGGCAGACCAGCTACTTTCAAAGCGGTGTGTCCACAGCCTACCTTTTCAGACCCAACAACACACTCACAGGGCGGTATGAGAGGAAAAAAAAGGAAAGAAAAGAAAGAGGAACAGGAAAAATTAGAAACATACAAGAACAGAAAGAATTCTGACAGCTACCACTCTACACACAAGACCTGATGAGGGTTCTGATGGGTGGGGCTCGCGTGAGCGGGAAGTCAGGGCAATGCACACCCAGCACTGCCAGGAACACTAGCTCTGTGGGGACAATTACCTTATGGCTCCTGAGCCAAACCAGAGCTGGACAGCGTCCAGACGATTCCCCTCAAGCTACAAGAAACTAGGACGTGCATGTCACAATGGACATGTGCTCACTCTGATAGGGGGTGGAAGCACCTTCAAGGCTCCATCTCAGCTCCATCTCAACTCCAGGTCATCGTAAAAACGGAGACTAATGGGTTGAGATCGCGACAGCCTGCCAGTGACCACAGAATGGTTCACTGCGTCGTTACCTCACTCAAGCCCAAAGGCTGCCAGAGCGTTGATAATGGCGGTAACAACAGGAATGGCTGTACAGATTTTTACTTATGCCACATTTCCAGGGCCTAGCACTGAGGCTGAGACACGGAAGCTCTGGATACACACGTGTCCGTATCGGCCACTCAGCTGGGTGGAGCTGCATCCCAACACACTCTCTCCTGGAGAATTAATCGTGAATGTGGATTTGAAGAGGAAAAAAAGGAGCTGGCGTCCACTGGTGGAAGCTGATGACTGACGAATGTCCTGGTGCCTCACGTGGCAAAGGAGCCAGGCATGCCACAGTGCTCCTTAGAAGGGAGAAGACTCCTGTAGACCACACTGTGAACTCACCATCACCAGGGTCTAGGTGGGAGGCAAGGGTGAGCAGGGAACAGCCTTGGCTCCGGAGTAGGCTTAGCTGGGACATCAGTTCTGCCACTCAGCAGCTACCTGGGTTACTAGATCTTCCTTCCCAGAAGTCAGGCCATGAAACCACAGGCTTGCTGCCAGGATGAAGCAGGTTGGCCTGATAGGCCTTTCCTTTCCCTTAAGCCAAAAACTCCCATTCAGGTGAGCCGTGAAGATTACTTCCAGGCCTTGCCAGATGCCAAGGCTCCTCTGTGCTTCCCATCCCTAGAGCTGAACTTGGCCTACCTTCTCAATTCTGTGACACTTTATCAGACTTACCACCAAGCAGATAACTGCTGTGCAACTGTAGAGAATTCCAACAGCATGCTACTTTGGGGTGCCCACTCTGCAGCAGGCCCATTATGTCACTGAGCCCCACAGATGGAGTGGGACAGACTCACCTCCAGGGCCTGCCTGAGGCCATGAGGCCAGGGAAGGGTGCAGCTGCACTGCCCTCTCCCCAGGGAAAGTGAACCCCTCTAGGCAAAGGCTGCTGCTGAGCTTGGCCCCTCTTCTGACAGTGGGCAGAGAGCTTGAGAAATGACTAGGAGAGTGAGTATGTAACTGTGACCAGAAGAACATGAAGGGATACTGACAAGGGTGGAGCCCTCGGACTCTGACCTGCTCCACCTTGGAAGGCACTTCCCACACATACGGGTGGCTCTACAGGAGTCCCTTGGTGGTGTTTCTGACGTGCTGCAGCTCTGAGGTAAGGAAGAGACCTGGTACCCAGAGTACTGGCCTAGAGGTCAGAAACCTAGGTAGGCTCCACCCCCAGTTGAAACACATTACTATCATTTTTAACCTAATATATATCATCAATGTAAAAAATACTTACGATATTTTATGTTCCTTTTGCAGAATATGGTATGCATTTGCACACAGCCCACCCCAGCTCACACTAATCTTGTTCCTGATGCTCAAAGCTTCACAGAGTGATGGCAGCTGTGCTGGACAGTGGACGCAGAGTCCCACCAGGTGCTTGTGAGTCTGGGGAGTAGGTGTGTGGACCCTAAGGGGCTCTCCATATCCTGCAGCTAACCCCATCTTTAAAAAGTCTTTGGTTTTTGCCAGGTGTGGTGGCACGCACCTTTAATCCCAGCACTCAGGAGGCAGAGGGTGGGTGACCTCTGTGAGTTTGAGGTCAGCTGGTCTAAATAGTGAGTTCCACCCATGGGCCGGGCCCTCCACTATCCTTGGTCCCCAGACACTCTATCACTGGTTCCCTCCTCCCTTCTGGGGGCTTCTGCGTAAACGGTCCCTAAATAAACTTACCTACTATCCGTGTCCAGTCCCACGAAGTCCTTCTTCTCAAAGGGGACACACAGAAGGGGGATCTTGTCCCCGGATTTGTCGGTGGCTCTGTCCAGGCGCTTGGACTCCAGCACGATGAACAGGGACTCGATGAAGTCCTCGATGCGCTTCTCCACCGAGTCGCAGTCCTCGTAGCTGGGGTAGAAGGCCACGTCAGGGCGCGGCTGCTCCGCCACATCCCCCTGCAAGCCGAAGACGAAGAGGCGCGAGTCATAGAGCGTGGCGCCATAGATCTCCTTCTGCACATGGAACTTCTCGAAGGTCTGCGGCCAGTCCTTGGCCGAGAAGCAGTCGGTGATGGTGATGAGGCCCACCACCTTGCGGTGCGTCTGCAGGTCTCCCCACTCGTTGTTCTCGGGTGGGTAGTGGTGGCGGTAGCGGATGAAGAGCGCGCGCTGCGAGTCACGCACGCTGAGCTGGCTCACCGCACAGATCCTCCTGTAGATCCTGAAGAAGTTCTCCTCCGATACGATGCCCACAGGCTGCACCACCACCAGGAGGGTCTGGTGGTCCTCGGCACACTGCATGTAGTCGGGGACGCTCATCCTGACGGCCTGCCAAGGAGAAAGCGCACCTGTGCCAGGCAGTCTCTGGGATGCCCAACCTGCAGGGCCCCCAGGTAGGCAAAGGCCTGGGTCCCGGACCAGGTCTACCCCCACTGGGACTCAGGGTCTACACTGGCTATCTGTGTGACCACAAGTGATCCACACAGTGCCACCCCCACAAGGTCTCCCCAGTTTTAGTGAGTTGTGTGGCAGTGTGCCCCACAGTCCAGATTCAAAAAGACAGGATCCTGTTCATGGGCAGAGAGAGTTACCACCCTATGTTGGCTTCCCTCAGTTTGATATTCAAATTCAATACACTTCTGATTAGAATTCCTAGGTTTGTAGCAGAAAGAAACAAGCTAATTTGCAGGAAAAAGTAGCTAAGCAATTCCTGATGTACCACCACAGAGGGGCTGTGGACTCCCCAAGACAGCACAGTGGTTGAATTGTCAGTGACATTGCAGAAAGGCAAGCCCAGAAGCCTGGAAGCTGACCCAGGAGACCAGGAGTTCAGGCCAGCCTGGGCTACACAAACTCTATCCTTAAAAGAGAATGACAGAAGGGTGGGGAGATAGCTCAGCGAAGAGCCCCAGCTGCTCCTGAAGAGGACCTGGGTTCAGTTCCCAGCACTATGTGGCAGCTAACAACCAACCGTAAATCCAGTTCCAGGGGATCTGACACCCTTTGCTGGCCTCTGTGTACGCTGCACACACCACACTCAGAGGTATGCGCGCATATACATAAATTAAAAATAAAAATAAGATTTTTTTTGAAAAAGAACAAAAATACCCTAAAATGCAGTGCCGATGGCTCTGTGACGTGTGGCATCACTGCCTGATATATTTAAGCTGCTGAGCTGGGTATATGAGCTTCAGCTCAGGAAAGCTATTAATGATGAAAGAGCCTGGCATGGTAGCTCATACCTTTAATCCCAGCATTCAGGAGGCAGAGGCCCACAGATCTGAGTTCAAGGCCGGCCTGGTCTACATAGCCAATTGCAGGTCAACCAGGGCTACACAGTCAAATCCCGTCTTGAAAGCGAACAAAAATAAATTTTTTTTAAAAATGAAGGACTAGCTAAAGAGTTAAAATGCACATCGTTCCAGAACAGAGATGAGGCCACTAGAATGTAATCAGCCAGAACCAGAACCACACAGATGAGTAAACCTGGCAACAGCAAACAGCCACAGTGAGAAAGTGGGTCAAGCGGGCCAGGACCTGGGATCAGGACAATGGGCCATCATTAGAAATGGGCATGACCCTGAAATGAGCAAAAGACTCCACAGCTCAAAGAGGAAGCTTGAATAGCCAATCCATGCACAGAAAGATGCCCATCTCAACAGCAACCAGGAAAAAGAAAAACCACAGTGATAGATCACTTTACACCCACCAGGCTGACAAAAGCGCGCGCGCGCGCGCACACACACACACACACACACACACACTACAGCTCTGTATTGCAAGGTGTATCCATTGCTATGCAGATGTCCCTGCCATCCACTTCTAGAACTTTCCATCTTACAACACTGAAACTCTGTACCCATTAACCATTAACTCCCCATTGCCTGAACAGCTCCTGGAACCACCATTCTATGCTGTGTTCCTGAGACTCTGATTCCTCTCGGTACCTCAGATGCACAGCATCATACAGGACTGGTCCTTAAGGGATGGGCTTGTTTCACTCAGAACGTGTGCCTGCCCCACCCACTTTGTACCATGTGGTCAGAAGCCCTTCCCTTCCCAAGAGTGAATGCCGTGCCTGATGTTGAACTAAAGCATTCTGCTTATCCATGCATTGACGGGCACCTGGGTTACGCTCACTTTGGTCTACCGTGAATACAGCGGCACAAGCATAAACATAAAAAAGATTCATGTGTGGAAAACAATATGAAAGTCTAGAAAAATAATGTTCACAAAACTGAAGATCAGGGGCTGGAGAGATGGCTCAGTGGTTAAGAACACTGGCTGCTCTTGCAGAGAACCCGGGTTGGGTTCCCAGCACCCACATGGGGGCTAACAACCGTTTGTAACTCCAGTTCCACAGGATCCAACATCCTCTTCTGACCTCTATAGGCATTGCATGGCACAGATATACTCACATACATGAAGGTAAAACACTCATACACACAATATACAAATAAATAAATTTTTTTGTTTGTCTGTTTGGTCTTTTTTGAGACAGGGTCTCCCTGCAGCCCCAACTGGCCTGGAACTCACTATGTAGACCAGGCTGGCCTTGAACTCCAGACATCTGCCTGCCTCTGCCTCTTGAGGGCTGGGATTAAAGGTGTACCCCACCACGCCCACCTCACAAATAAATTTTTTAAAAACAGGACAATCAGGCTGAGGAGATGGCTCAGTGGTTAAGAACACTGACTGCTCTTGCAGAAGACCCGGGTTCGACTCCCAGCACCCACATGGGGGCTACAAACCATCCTTAACTCCAATTCCAGGGGAATCCAAAGCCCTCTTCTGACCTCTGCAGCATTGTACCGCACGGGTGCACTCACATACATGCAGGCAATACACTCATAACACATAAAATAAAAATAATAAAATTTTAAAAAAACATACAAACAAGCCAGGGGTGGTGGTGCACGCCTTTAATCCCAGCACTTGGGAGGCAGAGGCAGGCAGATCTCTGTGAGTTCGAGGCCAGCCTGGTCTACGTAGTGAGTTCGAGGCCAGCCTGGTCTACATAGCCAGTTGAAGGTCAACCAGGGCTACACAGTCAAATCCCATCTTGAAAGCAAACAATGAAAACTACAGTGAGACCGAGAAAACAAACGGGGGGGGGGGGGCGCTCTGCTGTTAGGAGCTCCTGCTGCTGTCCAGGAGTTCAGCGACAACTTGCAGCTTGCAACTGCCTGTAACTCCATCTCCAGGGAATCTGACACCCTCTTCTGGCCTGTCGGCACCTGCACACACACATGGCATTTGTTCATACAGAAACACACACACTCACACACAGAGGCACACACACATAAACAAATATAAATCTTGAATGAATCCTAACATTGATTACTTTAAAATTAAAAATAAAATGAAAACAAAAAACGTCGGTAAGATGAGGACACTGTTGGTGGAAATGTGAACTAGCTCAGCCACTGTAGAAATCAGTAAAACGGTTCCTCATAAAACTGAAAACAGAATTTCGGTCTAATCCAGCTGTACCACTCCTGGAAGTAGTTCTAAAGAATTCTAAGTCAGCATGCCACAGAGATACTTTCACACACATGCTCACCGAAGCACTGCTCACAACAGCTAAGATACAGACTCTGCAAAGGTGTCCATCAATAGATAAAAGGATTAAGAAAGTGTGGTATGTGTATGCAATGGAGTATTATTCATCCATGAAGAAGAATAAAATCATGTTTAATAGAACTGGAGATCATTATATTATACAAAATAAACCAGACCCAGAAGACACGTATCATGTATTCTCTAACATATGTAGAATCTAAAAAAAATTTCTTAGCTAGACCTAATGATGCAGGCCTATAATCCCAGCAAGGTAGGAGAATCAAAGTTCAAAACCAGCCTAGATAACTTAGTGTCTCAAAATTAAAGGCCAGCCTGGTCTACATAGTGAGTCCAGGACAGCTGGGGCTACAAGGAGACCCTGTCTCAAAAAGACAAAAAAAAAAAAAAAAAGCATATTAAAGGCTTCTGGATTTAGCTCAGCGGCAGAGTGCTTGCCTAGGAAGCATGATGCCTGAGGTTCAATCCCCAGGACCAGAATAAACATTCCTACTTTTAAAGAATGACAGAGTAGAGGGCTGGTAAGATGGCTCATTGGTTAAGAGCACTGACTGCTCCTGCAGGGGACCCAGGTTCGAGTCCCAGCACCCACATGTCGCTACAAACCGTCCTTAACTCCAGTTTCAGAGGAATCAAAGCCCTCTTCTGACCTTCACGGCATTGCATGACATGGGTGCACTCACATACATGCAGGCAATACACTCACACATATAAAATAAATTTTTTAAAAAAAAGAATGACAGAGTAGATAGTGGTTGTGTTTATTTTTCAATTACCCTATGTGGATAAAAATAAATAAAAATAACAGAAATAAAATTAGACAACACAGCCACACATGGTTGGTGCCCTTTAACCCCAGCACCTAGGAGGCAGAGGCAGATGGATCTCTGTCAGATCGAAGCCAGCCTGGTCTACATAGTGAGTTCCAGGCCAGCTGGGGCTACAGAGAGACCCTGTCTCAAAACAAACAAACCAAAAATTAGACGACACAGTTACTGACCCTCCAGCTTTGGGGTTCTAAAACAACTTGGTCCTCTTGGACCCAGTGGCCTCTTGGGGCCCCTTCCACCTCTAACTGGGCATGAGACACAGAGGAAGAGTCGTACCCATGTCCTGGCATAAGACCTCAGCAAAGGTCATCTCCAAGATGCTCAAAATCAGAGCAAAGTTCTGTGAACTTCTGCCCCCAATTCAGAGTATACCTCCAACCCAGGAAGAACTAGGTCTGACAGAGGTGGGGAAGGGAGCGCACTCGGGGTAGGAACTGTGTCAGCAATCGATTGTAAGGGAGGACCTGCGTCTTCAGGCTGGCCAGGACTGTGCTCAGCAAACTCCAGTGGCAAATGGAAGCTCATATTTCCCCACAGCCTTCTCCCCAGGACACTGTGACGGAACAGCCTGGCCCAGAGGCAGGTCCAACATCAGAGCAAAGCTGGGACCCGTATTAAAATATCAAAAACACATTTCCTCAACTTGTAGTGTTTCAAGAAGTGAAACACACACAGCTGGCGAAAAACCATTCCAAGATATGGACCCCAAGGCGTCCACGAGTACAGTCAGTCCAAAAGCTGCCCGTAAATGTCTACAGCAGTTATTCGTAAAAAGCAAAAACTGGAAACACAAATGTCCAATGTGCTGAAGATACACCGAACACGGTCTCTCCACAGGATGGAATACTTCTCAGCCATGAAAGAAACAAAGTTTGGATGCGCTCTACACACGGATGAACCTGGAGAGCAGTAGGTACAAAGAAGCCAGACACTAAGGACACCATTTTATGATTCTACTCATACAACATGCCCAGAGCATGCAAACCCATAGGCGCAGACTATTAGCAGCAGCTAGCAGTCCTGGAGTGGGGGATGAGGAGATACCCGCCTTTAATTCCAGCACACCGGGAGGCAGAGGCAGGGGGATCTCTGTGAGTCCAAGGCCAGCCTGGCTACATAGTGAGTTCCAGGCCAGTTAGGCCTACAGGAAGACCCTGTCTCAAAAAGACGAAAAAAGAAAAAGAAAAGCCAAATCTTGCCAGGATCTCTTCCAGAAACGACTAGGTCTCCAGCACCTGCCCCTGGTGCCCTCGTTTCATAACAGACAGGGCTGAGTGAGGAAGTGGCTAAGACTCAAGTCTGCAAAGTCACTGTTTTGAAGGGGGTGTGTCCGCCTCCTACCTTCAGAGTTCAAGAGAACCCTGAGCCCAGAAGACCACACACCAAAGGAATTTGAGTCGGTAACAAATGGCAGATAGGAACGACCAAAGACCGGGCAGTGTGACACGTTCTCATCCCAAGCTGTCGCTTTACAGCAATGATCTCGTCTCAGGGAAACTGAGGCCGCTGGACCTGGAGACTGGCCGGCCCAGGCCTGGTGCAGCCAGGAGCAGCCCAGAGTACGCTTGCAGCCGGGAGGGCGAGGGGCGTGGCACACCTTGCTGCCAGCTTCCAGCACCCCGAGGCGGAGGAAGAGACTCTGCACCTGCAACTGAGAGCCAGAACCAGCCTTGCCCAGGAGGCCGCAGGTGCTCACCGTCCGGCTTACGTGCGCAGGGCCCGGCACTGGTGTGCGCTGGGTCCTCCAGGTGCGCACAGCCCCACAGGTACAGGAGCGTTGCAGGGTGGCAGGCTGTCCAGGATGGGCAGGGGACCCGGGTGTCCAGGGACCCGGGCAGGTGTGGACAAAGCAGGGGACCCCGGAAGGTGTGGACAGGGCAGGGGACCCCGGCAGGTGTGGACAGGGCAGGGGACCCCGGCAGATGAGGACTGAGCAGGGGACCCCGGCAGGTGTGGACAGGGCTTGGCCCCCCAACAGGTGAGGACAGAGCAGGGGACCCCGGCAGGTGTGGACAGGACTTGGCCCCCCGGGCTGGGCACTTACTCTGCGCCACCGGCCCAGAGCTGGAGCGGAGGCCTGGCGAGAGGCGGGACGAAGCGGCGGGGCCGCAGCTCTAGGATCCCAGGAACCTCCGACCCGCGGCCGAGCCTGTGCCTTCCCTGCGCGTGCGCGGAGTCCAGGCCGAGATCCAGCCCGGGTTTTCCAGAAGATGCCGGGCCAGCTAGCAGGTAGGGAGGGAGGAGCCGGGCTGGGGAGGAGGGAGGAGAGACAAGAAGGAGGAGGAGGAGGAGGAGGAGGAGAGGGTGGTACCCAAACGGGGCGATGGGGAGGGGAGAGGAGGGAAGGAGGCCCTGGAGCAGGGGCACCGACCTGTCCAAGACTCCAGGCTCTAGAGGCACCTCCATCGGGGAGCCCTGGCCAAAAATCCTGTCTATCACCAGGGTCACCGCCCCCACCCCCTTGCCCAGCCAGGCTTAGCGGCCCTCTGGAGGCTTGGCGCCCAACCCCCCACCCCACCCCCTATATCCTCTTTACAGGTTGGCAAAGTAAGGCTTGTGTAGTATCAGGATGCTTCCTCTGTAAAGAGGAGGTCAAGCCTTAGCCTCCCAACTTGGAAGACCCCAGCAATCAGTCCATCCTCCTGAGTCCCTTGGCAGAAAGCTTGCCAAATAGGGTTGGAATTCACTGACGGGTGTAAGCCACTTTGTAAAAAAGAAGAGGATTTCTACAAATATGTGCGCTGGGACATAGGAATTCTAACGGTGGCCCCAGGAAGAACAGAGAGAGGGGAGTCTCTCTCTCCCTTGCATATTTTTAGTTTTCAGTTTAAAAATTCAGTAAGTATTAGTAAAGAAGGAGCAGAGTGGGCCGCTCAGCAAGGGAAACGTGGTCCCGGTTAACAGTTTACAGTAGCAAGCATCTACTGACCATGCTACATAGCCATGCTGTTTTACAACTTATTATATTTTTATTTTTTATGTGTATGAGTGTTTTGCCTGCATGTAAGGGCACCATGTGTCATGCAGTGACCGTGGAGGCCAAAAGAGGGCCTGGGAATCCTTGGGACTGGGATTATGGAAGGTTGTTAGCCACCATGTGGGTGTCGAACTGAACCCGGGACCTCTGCACAAAGCAGCCAGGGCTCTTAACCACTGAGCCGTCTCTTCAGCCCCTATTAGTCATATTTTTAATAAAATAATAAAATACTGTCTTCATCTTTGTCCAGAACCAGGAGGAAAACAATTGTTTGGGGGTTTTGTTTCGGGGTGTGGGTGTGTGTGGGTGTGTGTGTGCACATATGAATATATGTATGACTTTGGAGACCAGAGATCGAGCTGGTTTTGTTCCTCAGGAGTGATTCACCTTGTTTTTTGAGACAGGGTCTCTCACGAGGACCTGGAGCTCTAAGCCACAGAGATGAGCCCGTCTCCACATTCCCAGCTCTGGGATAACAAGTGCCAGCTACTATGCCCAGCTTTACATGGGTTCTGGAGATCAAATGAGGGCTCGCCTGCTTGCACAGCAGTCAG